AGATCAGAGACTGATGGTGACAGCAGAAGCAAACTGGGGAAGACAGGAGAGAACAGGATCAGGGACACCTGTAGAAGAGCCTGTCTTGCCAAGAAGGGCCACCTTTCCTTTCCATCAGACACAGGACTGGAGCAGACCTCAGGGAAACAGCTGAGTGATAGGAGATGAGGAAGAGAAAAGAGGAAACTCTCAACAACTGGCCTCATTTTTTGTTCGTGAAGGATGGGACAGAGATTTATAGCTGAGATTGAGGGCAGCAGGGTAGAGTGCAGTGGGAAATTTAGGAGAGATAAAAAGGTTTGGATTTGGGAGAGCAAACTGACAAGTGTAAAGGGATTGCCTTATAGTAGTGAAAGCCCAGTAGAGATTAGAAAATAAATTTGCAGTAGAAGGGCTTCTGCTCCACTGACTTGATGGCTTAAGACTTTTTCCAGACTTGTTTCTTAGCAAGGTTTGACCTCTAGATTCTGGAAGTTGGTATGGGCCATTTTGTTAACTCATCTAACTATTATTGCCATAGAAGGGGATTTGGACAGCCTCCTCGAAAGTATAATAGTTAAGACAGGAAAAATACAAGGAAAACCAACTGCTTCCCATGTGGACATTTCTCTAGAAAACACCAAATAAGTTGTGACCTTGGAGAAGAGGCCCGAGTGAGTGTTCCACAGAAATAGTCTAGGCTTGAGGCTTTCCTCTCTATGGGGGAAAAAAAGAAAAAAACCAAATAAACAACAGGATAACACCTGGGGAAAAAGCAATACACTGCTTCCTCCTCAAGGTGGTCCTTGGGCCTAAAGGCATGACTCAAAAGCAACAATAATGGCTCCGAAATGAAACCAGGCATATACAGGAGCATTTGGCTGTTTCCACAGACACGAGAGGCTGGTGATAGGAATGGGACTCTGTCCACATTTACTTTTGGGCTTCTAATTGATCAGTCTGTGGATGATACCCTATTTTGGCTAACTGGGCAACTGCACCCAGTAGACCCAGACACATCCATCCATTAGGAGTGTTAAAGAATGTGAAGGGGTCCCCTGAACTTGTCTTTTTGAGTTGCCATATTTTCCAGAAACACTGGACCCAGAGTATGCAGGAGGCACTGAATGTATTGAAAGCAAAGTCTGCCCCCCCCGTCAGGTGACATAATGTGATGGCATCCCAAAAACTGGACCCCTTGTGTGTCCGTGGGAGTCAAGATGGGCGCTACTCAGCAGTTTGTGGTAGGCTGAGAAACTGCGTGTGCAGCTGGGACCCTTGTAGATAAGCAGGCCCTCCTACCTTCATGTTCTAGCAGTTTCCAAGGGAAAAGAATGTGGCTTTTGCCATACTCTTCAGGAGGGGTTTTGTCCTTTTCCCATCCTTACTGCACCTTTCCCCTCCTGTGCCATGTCCCTTTAAATGTAGATTTCTGGTACCTCCTCCTCCCTTTGTCCGTCTGTTATAAATATGCAAACTTCTGTACAGAGTTTTCATTTAAGTTTCATTATGTTGTGACTACCCAAAGACAGAAGGAACTAACAAATTGCCATGCTAGGCAGGTGGTGGGTTTTAAAACATGAAGATCACCTAAAGCAGCAGCAAGAACAATTTCTGTTTCACAGTGACTATGCTAATGTGTTTGTCAAAAACAGATTCCTTCTGCATGGAGATCCCTGCTCTCACCTGGATTGTGAAATTAATCACTGGAGCATGTTCCCTGCAATAAGACTAGAACTCAGGTCTTTCATTCAGAAATTAACCATTCCCAATTACCTTTTTTTTTCCCTCCAGGTAATCGGGATTAAGTGAGTTGCCCAGGGTCACACAGAGAGTAAGTGTCATGTGTCTGAGGCCAGATTTGAACTCAGGTCCTCCTGACTCCAGGGCCAGTGCTCTATCCACTGCACCATCTAACAGCCTCTCAACTACTCTTCTGTAAATTTCACCCCACCACCAAAAGCCTTTAAATTTTCCTTTTAATATGAACACCAGTGATATGGCTAATTAAGGCTCATAAGTGGTCAGGCTTCCTTATTTCAAAAAAAGGCTGACTTTAAGAGAAATTCTGTCTTTTTGCTAAGAAATATGTCCATTAGTCAGGACAAAGGTTAGAAACTTGAGTCTCTGGAAGGTTTTCTTGACCGGTGCTTCTTAAAGAGTGGCTGGGTAAGCATCCATAAGATCCTCTGAAGAGTATATGAGACCGAAAATGGTTTGGGTTTTTAAGTGTACTTTCCACTCTGGATATAAGAGCACACACACAAAATGCAGCTACCATAAGGGTCATTTACTCAGGCAAAAGCCTCACAATAATGGTTCTTTAACTAAGCAGTGGTGAGGACTTAGGCCCAACTAACAGTAATACGGGGCTTCATACAGCACTTGACCTTCATCGTCTTATTTGATCCTCTCTGTCTAAGGGATATTATCAGCCCCCGCCCCACCCCCTCCACTTCCCATCCCCTGTTGGAGGAAGGAAGCTGGCACAGAAAGCGGTGACACGACCCTCCCAAGATCATGTAGGGTCTTGGGCCTCCCAAGGAGGGGCTCTCTCCACTAGACCACAGCAGCTTGAGGAGGAATAATCTTGAAGATGATTCAAAATAGGCCAGTGAAAGAGACATGGGACTTGATTCAGTGTCAGCTAGTTAAAAACCAGCTGCCTTAGGTAAGATGCAGTATGACATGGCTGCTTTTTTGAGACATTATCTGAAGAGTCAATGGTTAAAAGGGCAATTCAGCAGACAAAGGCCTCAAATGACTCCTTAACTCCCCTGTCCAAAATACCCACTGAAATGCCTTTAACGCCCTCTCCTAGTGCCTCCTGGTGTCAAGAAGGCCACCCTGGGTCAGCCAAGGCCCACCAAGCTGGAAGGAGAACCTTCCAGAATGGAGCAGAGCAACATACTCTGAATGTATTTGCCATCCAAAATACAGCCTGGCCTCAGTGGGGAATTCTTTTTCAGAAGTCTGGACATTAAAGGGGAATGATTTTGCCTGTGAGCAACTCAAAAGGGGCTATAACTTACATCTAAGAAAGGAACACCTCTATGTGGAGTAGGACTCTCTCCGCGTTTCAGAAGTAAGTCACTTTAAGACACCATCCAGATGTTTCCAGAACCATTCCTAGCAATCACTCAATGGGGGCAGCTAGGTGGCGCAGTGGATAGAGCACTGGCCCTGAGGTCAGGAGGACCTGAGTTCAGATCCGATCTCGGACCAAACGCTTGACACTTGCTAGCTGTGTGACCCTGGGCAAGTCACTTAACCCCAACTGCCTTTAAAAAAAAAAAAGCAATCACTCAATGGACAAGCACTACCAGGAAGTGGCGAAAAGCTGGTGACACAAAGACCGCCACCCTCCTGATTTCAAGGTGACAACATGCACAACCAACCACCCTGTGCGTCTGGGGTGAGGGAGAAACACAAGTCTACATCTGGGAATTCAGGATGTCTCATTGTTGCATAATGAGAACAGCAGATCAGCGGGCAGAAGGGCTGTGTCTATGCTTCTATCTGAATCTAAATGTCCAGAAAAGAAGAGAGCGTGTGCAGGGCAGACACGTGACCTGGGAAGTCCCGATAATGGCCCTGCAGGTTATGGCCCCAGGTCCATCTCACTGGAGATGATGCTTCCCGATGCTCTGCGCAGCACTCCATTTATCTGGGCCCCCGGCAGGAAAGTGGAGCGGCGCAACTCAGGTTCCCCATTCCTTTCCATTTATCACTTCCCACAACAAGGACCTGTCCAATATGAAACCACCTCAGGATGATCTAGATTTTAATCTTGCTGTCTCCAGAATCAATACCAGGCTCACCTAATACTTCTGTTCTGCTTTGGCAATGAAGTGCTCCTTTTAGGGAAGGAGGGCCTGAGCTCAGAGTAGGCAGCACACGGATAAATCACCACATGTCAAGAAGAGAAAATCGCCTGAGATCGTCAGCTCAGCAATAATGGATGACAAGCCGGAGGTGAATTATGCATGAAATAAACTGCAGAGGGCCAACCTCGAGATTCTGGCATCTGTATCCAAGCACGATTTCTCAGTGGATGGTTGACTTGTCAATGCTCAGTTTGCATTTTCATCAGGGGAAGAACAACCAAAGGCAGAGAAACTGGCCCAGAATTATCACCAGGGTACCTAAAGAGTGTGGCCTGCCTTGGGTCGTGTGGACCGAATTCAGCCATCATTTAAATTATAGATTACCTTTTCTTTAGATGGATGAATATCCCTATTAGTTTGCCACTGAAAATGGTCTGAGAACAGTGACAGCTAAAGACAGTGAGGAGTGGGGAGCAGTATCTGTGGCAAGGTGATTTTTTGACTGTCGTTTAGACCTGTGATTTCATTGGCGTACAGAACTCTCAGAGGCAGCTGTGGGGCAGTGGATAGAAAGGTGACCTCCGGGCAAGGAAGCCTTGGGAAAGTCACTTAACACATCAGTGCCGAAGGCAACTCCCTAAGACTTTACGCTGCCCGGATGGTACCAAACTGCACTGGCAGAGGGACTCTCCTCATCTGTAGTTTTCTACACCGATGAAATCACAGGCCCAGGGAAATGAAATGAGGCAGACTAAGAGAGTGTCTATAATTGAAAGGCCCAGAGTACCCGTAGGCACTGAGAGGGTAACACACTTGCCCAGGTCATACCGATCATGTCAAGAGGAAGGATCTGAACCCAGGGCCTCCCTGACTCCAAATCTTACCGGGGCAATACAGAGAACACTTAAGCAAATCAGTTTATGCTGATCCTGGGTCTTCAGCTGGCTAAAGGACATTGCCACCAGTGAGCTAGAAACCAATGGGGTTAAAAATAAAATTAACAGCAGCCAGTCTCACAGATGGGTTCGCGACTTAGCGGACACTCCCAATCTCTGGCCTCTGGTCTCTTGCCTGTTATGGCAAATGGAAGAATGGCACCCCATTGCTTAGAAAGCAAATCAAAAGAAGGTAGTGCTAAAGGGAAAAGGCTGGCCCGCACCATTCCCTTCTTTCCTGCCTAAAGGGTTCCATTACCTTTCCGGATCTTGTCGTGAAAGTTAATAGCATCCACTGAAGCCGTGACAATGTTGGTCTTGCAATGGCGGGCAGCCACAATCCCAGCTACTTCATCCATTAGCTTCATGGTAACACCTGCACAGAGGAAAAGATTCCCGTAGTAAGTCCCACAACAGCAAAGAGAATGCATATATGTATATGTATATGTGCATGTACACATGTTTAAATGTGCATATATCTTGGAAGCAATCCATAAAACCCCCATTACCTCCTACTAACTTGACAACAAGGTCTGGAGCAGGAAAATATAAAAGGACCAGATGAGGCTGTAGAGAAAATGTTTCATTTTGGCATCTTGTAGTGTACGAATTAAACTGTAGTTCCATAAGACAATAAAACCAACGCTGTATTCCTTAGTGCTCACTACATAATGGCCTTGTAGAAGAAGATATGGACATCTCCACAAATCTCTAACCATGCCAGGGAGATTTAGTCATAGAATCAGGTTCTGCTGGAGAATACCATAGGTAGGACTCGGAGTCTTTAAATCTTAAAGCTTCACTCTGCCTCAAATAACAAAGGTTTGGAGAATCCTTTGGTGACATCCAGAGCAGGTTTGCTTCACTGTCCTTCCCTTCTCTTCCCTTCCCTCCCCTCCTCTCCTCTCATCAGCATTCAATAGGAAAGGGAAGAGAAGGGAATGAGCATTTATACAGTGCCTGCTACATGCCAGGCACTGTGCTGAGTGCTTTACAAGTACCATCTCATTTGATCCTCACAATGACCCTGCGAGGGAGACACTGTTATTATCCTTATTTTACAGATGAGGAAACACTGAGGCAAACAGAGGTTAAGTGACTTGCCATGGTCACAGAGTTAGTAAGTACCTGAGGCTGGATTTGAACTCAATGATTATGGGCTCCAAAACCAGTGCTCTATCTCTGAGGCACCTTGGATCTCTCTCAGATCACAAACAAGATTTCCTTCACTTGTATCATTCTACCCATTCCTAGTGTTTACAAAACCAAACCATGTCTTCTGATATAGCGGAGAAAATTTGGAGTGAGAAGAGCTGGTTCTGTTGTGCAGTTGTGGGTATGGCACTTCATTTCCCTGGTTTTTTGGGCCTTCCTGGCCCTAATTTTCTCATCTATAAAGCTTAAGAGTTGGATATATGATCCCTAAGGTTCCTTCCCACTTTCAATCCTCTGATCCTGCTTTACCAGCAATAAGTTTGGAGATACCCCTCTTCTTCTACAAGGTGGTGGGTTACTTCCCAAAATCTCAGAGGAAGAGATGCAAAAATGTGAAATGTTACTCAGAGCAACACCTACAAATTAGAAGGCGGCCCTTCTGTGATGGGACAAAGCCTGTAAAACCATAGAGAAGGGAACCAGATGGAAAGGAAAGTAGGTCATGGCCCTGACCAGGACTGAGAATGCCTGTCAGTTTGGCCTTCTGATGGCTCATTCATGTGGCACAGGAATGAGCCTCTCTTTAGCTGGGCTGGCGCTCAGACTGCACAAACAACATGCCCCAGCACCATCCTGGCAGTTTTTTCAACTTGGCGTTCAGAGCTTGTCTTTGGCCAACACAACCTTGAAGAGTGAGTGGATTGCAGGTGTGAGGGATGGCCACTGAAAAGGCAAGGGAATGGAGGGTCAGGTATGAGGAACAAAGAAATGGCTAGTTTAGCTGGACCTTGAAGTGCAGGAGGAGGAGGGATGTGCAGGGAGTTTGGAAAGAGAGGTGGAGCCCAGGTCATGAAGCCTCTCAAAGCTAAATAGAGGTGTTTAGATTTTGTCCTGGAGGCAAGAGGAAGCCTCTGGAGTGGACTGACTAGGGAAGACATGGACAGATCTCCATTTAAAGAAAATGACTTTTGCAGCAGTGTGTAGGATGGCTTGGAGCAAGGAGAGAGCTGAAGCAAGAAGACAAGTAGGAGACAGTTGAAATAATTGAGGCAAGAGGCAGTGAGGGTCTGAACTAACAAAGTAGCTGTAGAGTAGAGAGAGGACTCAGACGTCAGAGATGTTGTCAAGGTAGAAAAAGCAAGATTTGGCAACTGATGGGATATGGGAGGTGAAGGAGAATGAGAAATCTAGGCTAAGGCCGAGGTTATGAACCAGGCTCATTGGAAGGCTAATACTGCCCCTTAGAGAAAGAGAGAAATTTGGAAGAGGTGAGGGTTTTGGAAAAAAGATAGCGAGTTACTTTGTATATGTTGAGTCTGAGATGCCCCTAGGATATCTGATCTGCAATTTCCAACTGGCAACTGGTGGGTGAGGTGGGAAGAAAGCTTAGGGGAGAGAACTGGAGCTGGATGTTAGTGTGGCAATCACCTGCAAAGAGATAATACTTCAATCCACTGAAGCTGGGGAGATAATGGAGAAAGGATACAGAGGGAGAAGAGAAAAAGGCCTAGCTCAGAACCTGGAGGAACACTCCCAGCAAAGGAGACTGAGGAGGAACACTCAGCAGGTAGCAGGAGACCCAGGAGAGAATAAGGTCACATACAACATTACAACAACAACAAAAATCCAGAAGTATCCAGGAAGATAGAGGGTGTCAAAGGTCAAAAAGGATAAAGACTAAGGAAAGACCATCAGGTTTGGCAACAAGAAGTTTGGAGAGAGCAGTTTTAGTCGAGTGCGGACATCACAAGCCAGATTGCAAGGGGTTAAGGAAGAAGAAGAGAGGAAGTGGAAGCAGCAAGTGTAGACAGCTTTTTCAAGGAGTGGCTGCAGAAGGAAGAAGAGGCCAAGTGCACGTGAAGGGGTGGAGGGAGAGCAGGAACTAGCCCGAATGGTTTAAAGCACTTATGGCCTACTTTAGGAAAATAGATGCTCTATTTCTCCATTCGGTGCCTTTGTTTCTTCATTTATATACATGAGCTAGACAGGCTGATGTGCCACAGGCTTTAGGGAATGGAAAATGAATTTTTTAAAAAGCGGTTATAAATTCTTCTACAAATTACAGCTGTGCTACAAAATGCTGCTTTAATAATCCACGAGAAGAATATTCTGGTAAAATAGTACCTATGTTAAATTAATACACGGGCAGGGGGTAGGAACTTCACAGAGAAAGAAGTGAACTAATTCTCCCCTCAGAGACTAGCTAGAAGGCTCTAATTCTCTGAATTTACAAATTGGCCAAAGAATACACCACAAGAATGGAAGAGGGATGAGCAGAAGACGACCCTTTCTGATCCACGTGGTACCCCCCAGGGAGAAGCCTCCAAAACAATCCCAAAGCACTACCCCCATTTTGTACAAAGACCCTAAACTCCACAGAACCACCACAGAAAGTGCTCAGTACTGGAAAAGAACCACAACAAACAGATCTTGACCCTGACCCTGGCAGGACAGAGATCTAGGAGGGCAGCCTTGGGACAGTGAGCAGCCTCCTTTTTCTAAGGTATCAAACATATCACTGTTATAGGATTTCCTCCCCTGGAAAGTCATTTAAACACATTAACTTAGATCACTAAACATTTCTTTGTCTAAATCCAATAATATTCCTAGAAGTATTATTTGTAATAACAAGAAAAGTGACAACTCATGGGTTCTGGTGACTGGGGAATTGCTGAACACAATGTGATCCTTTAATGTAACAGATCATCTATATTTATTGGTTTCTGTGGATGATGTGGCCCAAAGTTCTGTTCAGGGCCCCCCTTTCTCCTCTCTTCATACTCTTTGTGACCTCATCAACTTCCAAGGTCTTAAGCATCATCTCTATGCAGACAACCTTCAAATGTACACTCTTCCAGTCTTAATCTCTCTCCTGACTTCCAGTTCCACATCACCAACTGTCTATTGGACATTTCCATCTGGATATGCCATGGCTTCCTCAACTCATCATGTCCAAGACAGAATTCATTTCCCCCAAACTCTCCCCCCTCCCCCAGTTGATCGCTACAGTCACCTAGGTTCTCAACCTTAGAGTCAATGCCTCACTCGGACATCATCTAGCCAATCATTTGCCAGGTCTACCTCACAAAATCTCCCACGTTAGACCCTTTTTCTCAGGCTCTCATCTCATCTCACCTGGACTACTGCAAAACCATCCAAAGTAATTTCCAGCTCATTGTCTAACCTGTTTCCTAAAGTAGATTTTCCTAAGGACAAGTCCAACCATGTCACTCCCCTACCTGTTATCTTCAAGTTGTACAAACACCCACTCCTCTGTTTGGCATTTAAAGCCTGCCCTTCACAACCTGGCCCTCTGCTACCCTTTCCTTCTAGCCTTATGCTATCCTATTCTCCTTCCTGTATTCTTTGGTCAGGACAAAGTGGCTTTCTTTCTGTTCTTCATACATTCCATCTCCTGGTTGCATACTTAGTTCAAGCTGTTTCCCATACCTGGAATGCCCTGTCTCCTCCCTCCTGCCCCTCAGAATCCCTGCTTTCCTTCAGAACTCTGTTCAGGTGCCACCTGTCAGTTAAAGCCCTCCTTGGTGTGCGTTCCCTAACTCTCCCTTCCATTCAGCATGAGTTGGGCCCATGCTTGAACAAGAGAAGAGCTTGAACAAGGGAAGGGGAGGGAAGGCCGATTACCTTCAGGAGGAAATGCAAAGCTCTTTTGAAGATCTCAAAGGTGCCACTAAAGCAAAGGCCCATCCTTCTAAGGCCAACATTCTGCTGATCTGTGGCAGCAGGGCATGGAATACAATGGGCTTGGAAGAATTAAAAATTAGTTCCACACAGAGAGCAATTGGTGGCTGTGAACAGGCTGCAACATTTAACAAAGGAGAAATTCCAAAGAAGAATCCATCACTGGGACACCCCGCTAAGCCCTGGGGATACCAAGAAAGCCTGCCCTCAAGAAGCTTCCTTTCTAAAGGGGGGACAATAGGTACCTAGAGAGGCAGATATGAAGCCTGGGAACAAAGATGGGCTGGTCCCCAGGTGAGGAGGTGCCTGGGACATGTCGGGAAACAGGCAAGTCTGGGGGAAGCCCTGATGGGACAGACTTCTGGGAGGACACCAGTTAGAGCTCCATCTGCGTCACTGGAAACCTCTCAGGAATTGAGGAAACTGCAGGTACATGTGGACATTTTGGATGTACTTAATGCATGTATATTTGGTTTCCTGAAATAGAATTTGAGTTCTTCCAAAAAGGACCAGTTTCAT